GTTAGCTCATGTTTTAAGTGGTCACCAGGTGTGCACTGCTACCAAATGCAAGGTACTGGGCTGGATTCCGCACGGGGCCCAAACGGGAAAAACTGAGATCTTACTCTCAGGGAACCCAAAGCAATTCCCTGACATAGGCAGAGCTATCATCTGCATGTCCATTTTACATATGGAGAAACTGAGACCCAGGGAAGCTAAATGTCCAGTTCAAGAGCTTGTGGCTATTATAGCTGCTGGCAGCGTTGAAACTTAAGCCTCAGGGGCCCTGACCTCCAGCTTCGTGTGGTCTTCCTCTGGCTGTGCGTTCTCTCTCCGAGACATCAGAGTGTGGGCTTAAGACTGTCCATGGCACCAAATGCCCCACAAATAACCAAGCAGCGAGGACCACAGGCCGATACGGAGGCCTTGTCAGGACCTGCTACGTGTAACCTTGCAGGGCCCAGTGCAACGTGGGTTCATGTATCACACGCCTGGTTCACGTATCACAGAGAATCTCAAAACGGCAACAGCAGAGCTTCAAACTGAGCCCGGGGCCTTTCCACGTGCAGGTCCCTGTGTGACTGTGACCACCACAGGTCACACCCCCCTGACGCCAGCCTGTCACACGAATACCTGGCACAGAGCCAACGTATCCCTGAGCAACTCCACTCCCCGGCTCCAGCAAGAAGTGATTCTCCTGGCCGGGGCGAGAGCGTGCCTGACCCAGCATCTGGGCACCTGCCCCGCGCGTGCACCTCTCGGGCAGCTGACCCAGCACCCGTCAGCATTCCCAGCTCCGCAGATTGGCAGTCTCTTGGCTGACACTGCAGCCCCCTTCTTTGCCCGAGGAACACAGTCTCGCTCGCCAAGGTTCAGCTGCAGTGACGCGTAGATCCGTTAACACTCCCTCCTGGCACCGGGGAGTGCAAATACCTACTTAAAGCTGAAGGGCTCTTTGGCAAGGGTGTCAGAGCTTCATTTTTCTTTAAAATTTTCTTATGTTTTCTCCCCAGTTTGCAGTGCCTGGAGCTGTCTTGCAGAAAGCAACACACTACCCCGCCACTCAGCTAACCTTTCTTTCCACCCATCGCGCAGGCCTTGCTTTTTCCGACTCACAGGTACACAGGAACCGCAGACAGGCCAGACGCTACCAGACTCTCATGCAGAAGAGTGATCATTTGGTATCAGCTAGACACCGGGGGCAGACAGAAGCGAGTCTTGGGTCTTCTGCAAATGCAGTGAAGTAGCTGCGAGAGTGAAGCAGGTCATTCTCTCTCTCTCAGGGCTTGAACTGTCTTCTAGAAAAGGCATGTTGATTTGGGGGGCGCCTCAGTGGGAAGTTGGCGAGCTTCCTCCCCAAGGAGCAGGACACGTCGACTCGGTCCTCCCACAGGTCGTCAAGCTGGTCATAGGCTCCCTCGTCCACACGGAGTGACAAGGGACCCTCCATAGCGGAGGTAGCCCAGCACGTAAGCAGAGTCCCACATCCGGAATGGAAAATACCTGCACCCCGGAACTGACGCAGGAAAGTGGGATATGGCACCGCTGCTTGTCCTCCTTTGGGTTGCGGGTGGCCTTCAGAAGCAGGGTTAAGCTAAGCCCCTAAGAAGTAGCTTATGGGAGACGAATGCTAGCACCCCGGGGTAAGGATGGCAGGACACGCGCGCCTATGGAAAGCAGAGGAGGCCGGGCGCGGTGGCTCAGGCCTGTCATCCTAGCACTCTGGGAGGCCGACTGTCTTCCTGCAGGGCCTGCCCTACAGTTTTGGGGGGTAGCATCGCAACAGGTGGGAAATTTTACTCGGTCAATAAACACATACACGCGGCATGAATTGTATGAAATGTGGTACAGAAAGATCAGACACAGTGTTTAGGCGCGGCCAACAACAAGTATGAATTTAACCCAATTCCACCAGTGTCCCTACAAACCACAGTAAATTTTTTGTCCCTAATATATTGAGAAAATTTCAAACCATGGCCCAGAAGAGTGAAGCTAATTTTATAGTGAGGCACTGCACCAACTGCAATTCTACCTTGCTATTCACCATCTTCTGCCTTTTATCACATAATCCCAACCCTGTCCTCATCCAGTACTCCTCTTACTTTTATATAATTTTCAAAAAGTAAATTGCAGAAACAGGTACATCTTCCCCCCAAAAATACTGGCACCATTAACTAGAGTTGCAGTTATGTTTTCCTAAGTTTCTTGCTGAGTGATAAATTTCAACACCCTAAGTGAAGCACGTGTCTCCGGTACAGCTTCGCTGAGCCTTTGGCAAACGCAACACCACAAAGCCCCCGCAAATAGAGAATGTCCTGCCAACCCTGGAGACTCCCCCTGTGCCCTCTCCTAGTCAGTCCCCTGGCCCCATCTGGGCATCACTCTCGTTTTTTCTGCATCCAGATTAGTTTCTCTGCTCCAGATTTCACGGGCATGGATCGACTGTGTGAGAACTTTCGTGTGAAGCTTCTTCTTCCTGCAATGAGATGTCTTGCAATTTCATCCACGTAATTGCATTGTACAGCGGTCATTCTTTTTTTTTTTTTTTTTTTTTTTTTGGACGAGTCTCACTTTGTTGCCCAGGCTAGAGTGAGTTGCCGTGGCGCAGCCTAGCTCACAGCCACTCAATCTCCAGGGCTCAGCGTCCTACTGCCTCAGCCTCCGAGTAGCTGGACTTACAGCAATGCGGCCAACCCAATGCCCGGATAATTTTTTGTATATATATTTTTAGTTGGCTCAATAATTTATTTCTATTTTTGGTAA